CTTTTCACTACTCTCTATCGACGAACTACTAACACTCTCTGCTGTTTCCTCCTCCTTCTTCCTTCCTCCCGCTGTCTTTGTTGGTTCATTTATACATGCGAAACGCGTTCTCTGGCTGGCTGGATTGTCCACTCGGTCTGCCGTACATACATGGCGGCGCAAGATGGCGACCTCTCTAAAGCAAGGCCCTTGCTATATATATATATATAAAAGCATAATTATAAGGCTACGAAAACCAAACGAATTTTATTTTATAGCGATCATACACTTATATAAACATATTAATGGGTAGAATATTCAGATTCAGATTGACAATAAACCATGCCAAATATTACACACTGGCCCTTTAATGCATTTACATTCCCTTATTGAGTTGGTTACTTACTTCTGCATTTTTCTAGGACACGGGCGTCGGGGTGGTTTCTCCTTGTAGTGTTTCCTGACAGCTCTCAGTGAAACTGGCATGCCAAACTTTCCCTTATCTCCTGTGTTGTTTTTCCACTTCCTCGCATCACACGGATCTGCTGGGAGCTCTCTCTTGCTGATGCACGTCATCTTCGTTGTTGCCAATAGCCTACTGTAGCATGGTGGTGATCAAGTGAGGTTAGACAGGTAATTTAACTATTTGATGGCGAGGAGGAGCCGGATGGCAGCATGTGATTGGCTAACCACAGCTACCTGGCCAATGAGATTTCTCTAAATCAGTAACAAAATCCCTGTGTTTTTTTGTTGTTGTTGTTGTTGTTTTTGTTTTTGTTTTTTTTAATGAGCTGAGGTGTAGAATATTTGGCTCGGGCTTTTAGTCTCGTTTTTCTTTTCTTGTTATGAATTGACACTCATGTTTTTCATTTTCCTATAGGCTACCACTGTTGACTCACTTGGTGGCAGCTTTTCTGGCAGTGTTGGGGGCTTTTATGAGGCAGAGATCCGGAGTCTCAGAAAGCAGCTAGCAGAGATTGAGACGCAACGGTGCAGCAACACAGAAATACCACTCCGCTGCGCATTGCAGCTGTGTAAAATGTCATACAAAAAAAAATTAAAATAAATTCCAATAGAATAAGCTTGCCTGATTTACTGAAAATAATTATACAATAACGAAAAAAATAATAGCCTAACGAAAATATAAGTCAGTCAAGTGTGTTTGAGATCATCATGCACAAAGATCAGTTTGACGCCTTGAACAAATTTAATTCATTTTCGGACATTAAACATGAGAAGATTATTTCAAATGGACATTCTCATTTCGTAGAGGACTCAGCTTAAGTATTAATGAGTGTTACACGCCAGTAATATAAAGTTATTTACGTGTTTTGTGGTTAATTATACCGTGGATCCTTTCGCTCCTCTCATGAAATCAGTGCGTCCTGCATACAGCGGCGCACGGGACCGATGAGCAGCCTTCGTTTCCTGTCAGACTGCGTGTTACTCGTTCATCCAAACTTGGTCGGGATTTGTAGCGGACATGTATATGCTGCTCACTATACAACGTGGTTATTATAAATAAATGCATCTCTGTGCAGAGAGGGAAATATATGCTGCCTGCGTCTGAGCAGGAGGCTACACAGTAGAGATGCGCGTCCTGGCTGACGCACGGCTATCTCGCCATGCGGATCATTTTGGATTTATTTTGAGATATCTGATATTGATGTCTCCACCCTCCAATACGGTGGAAGGCATTTCATTTGCGATGCTCACAACTTTGGAAACATTTAACAGATTCAGAAGCAACACATCTTTGCAGAAACAGTGACCCAGTGTTATTAGTTTTCCTTGGAAGTGCTTTCAGCTGAAGTCCCTATGACAAGAAATCTTGACAGTGAGGTCTGTGGATTATCCAGAGTATCAGGGACACTCTTTCTACAAAGACAAATTGCTGGTGAGCTTATTAAATAACATTTTTACCAGCCGTGACACACCGCGACGCCTGGTATTGTTTTCACCTTGTGAGTGAGTGTGTGTGTGTGTGTGTGTGTGTGTGTGTCATCGTGGCAAAGTGTGGTCCACGGCTGCCTTTTACGCACAGAACACACATAACCATTATGCCATGTCTTAGTGGGACTGCCCAGTGATTTCAGCCTTTAAATGCCTGCATAGTAACTAATGCCGAAAACTAAGTAGTGAACCACCTGCATGTAGGTGCAGGGTGGCAACGCGTCTAGGTCCCTGCTCCAGCTGCAGGTAGCTCGTACGGATCGATGTTATTTATTTCTTGGATCTTCTCCAAATACCTCAGTTTGAATCATGATAACACGGCAAAAAATTCACACAAAGCACGGTAAATGAGGTGGAGTTTAATTACACAGGGGTATCCAAATTAACGGGAAACACAGGGACAAGTAGGTTTTGAAAGATAAAAACAGAGCGTCCTCTTAGCTTTTCACATGGTAATATTATTTTAAAAGACATGGGTTGCATACAGTAGTTGTAATTCGACCTAGTCATACAATGCTACTAGGCTAAATAGTGGCTCCGTGGAGCCATGGACCAGCTGATAAGCTGTCTTTCCCAAATCTGCAGATATTACAGTATTTTGGTGATAATGACTGCTCCTCCCCGTGGACAAATGAAGCATTGCAACTGTTTTCACACAGGTCTCTAGAGGCGTTACAAGTCAGGGCTGCATATCCTACGTCATCACGGGGGATTAAATTAACTCCACGGAGCAGGCCTGCCGAGGTTCAGTCATAAGGCCCGTTTCCACCGCAGGAACTTCGGGGTAAATTTACGGGGCCGGGGCCATTGGTGCGTGTCTCCACCGCAGGAACCACCCGCGCCACCCACCCACCCACCACTTTTACGGGGGCTAAACAAGTCCCTGCCTCGGAGTAGGTACTCAGAACGGCCCGAAAGACTCCTGGCTGGGGCTTGGGGATTACTTGGTGCTGATTGGATATACTCAAGGAGGGATGTGACGACAACAGAAAGCTACAAAACAGCCGGCATTTTTAAAACTCAGCAGACGAGGGTTAGCTCGTTCATATAGCTTCCGCCGCCATGTAAAAAAAACTCACTAAATGGCCCGTGAAAAAAATATTTTTTTCCAGTGGATATCTTAGTTACAACATGATTGAGCTAGCAAAGCAGTTTTGTATTGATATGTGTGGTATTTATTCAGTTATGGGAAATCACGATGTCTAGAAAGCATCAGCTAACAGCAGCAGCAAAGCTAGCAAAGCTAGCTAATGTTGTAACTAAGACATCCGCTGTAAAAAATATTTTCTTCACGGGCCATTTAGTGAGTTATTACAGGCACCGCTAAGGGCTATCAGCTAACGGCGTCCCTACGTCCCCCGGCCAAAATGGTCGCACAACAATTACGTCATATCCAGAGCCCTTAACTTTACAGGAACCTTCCTCGTACTCCGCTCTCAGTGGAGACATGGCTGTTGAGAGGGCCGAGCGAGAGGATGTTCCTGTAGTAGTTCCTTTCCCCCAAATAGTACCAGGAACTTCTTCAGTGGAAACGGGCCTATGGAAACGGGAACTTTTGAGTGGCTCCCACTGTAGCTAGCTAGCACCCACCATACCCAGTTGGTGTGTAGTGCAGTAAACTGAAGAGTAGCAAAATTAAACAACATGCGTAACTGGTCAGAAATATTCTTAGTGGTAAATCAATTAACAGTTAACCCTAAGCTGAACATTTGGCAGCTAATGCTAATGTTTCTCTGTATTTTCTGGATGTTTAAATAGGTAATTCATTGCTAACAAGTTCACTTTATCAACTTTTTAAGGAAATAATGTGTCAGTATGTTGTGTTTACCTTTTTTATTTTTATTTATTTGTTTATTTTATTTTTGGTAGACTTGCACTGAGTTTTTCATAAAGAAGATATTTTGTCATGCTTGTTCCAACCACCTACAAAGTTTTTATAATGTTAGGGTCATAAGCATGAGGCCATTAAGTTGCCATTACGTGAATTTTCCGAGGTTGGAAAGAAGTGCTCTTAATCGCACAAAACATATACTCAAAATTCACATAGTATGTTAGCAGAACATTTGTATTCTGAAAGCTACATCACAAAAATATGTAAATGCAAATTATCACCACAATAAGCAGAGACAAACACTTTTGGGCCCCCCAGCAAACACTTTTCTCACTCCATACAGAAGGACAGACTCTCCAT